ATGTCACTTGAGATCATTCAAAATCTGGTAAGGAATATATTCTAATCTGAAGAGATAAGTAAGAAAATATTGGCAAGAAACAATTTATAATTTGGAGAAAAATTTGATGCTTGTAAAATGTCATGTCATATGCTAATTTGATGCTTGTAAAATGTCATGTCTACCAATTTCTTTTTTTCGATACAATGAAGGAGGTCGGAGGCCTAAACGAGAACTAGGCTAAGACCCTACGCGGGTACGAAACCTCAATAATGTCGTGCTCGAGCCACATGCCCATCCCTGGGGGAGGCGAGGAAAGTCTCTGTACACCAATCGGGCAGGAGGCCGCAAGGCTCGCTAGATGGTCAACCGCAAAATTAGCTTCCCTGTGGACATGAACGATCTTAATATCCCATTCTCGCCGAAGCAGACTACCAATGGCCTGCACCATCGCTCTATGAGTACCAAGAGAAGCGTCCAAGCCCGAGATCATTTTCGTAATGCACTCACTGTCCACCTCGGCAATCACTCGTTTATAACCCAACTCCCACGCTAACTGCAACCCCTGAAAAAGGCCCCAGAGCTCCGCACCCGTAATGGTGCAAATACCAATGTTCAAGAGGAAGCCCTCGATCCATCCACCTGCTTCATTCCTAAGAAGCCCGCCAGCACTACCCAAGCCCGTGAGGTTATCGAAAGCTCCATTCGTGTTCACTTTTATCCAGCCCGGGTCCGGTGGATGCCAAGAGATCATGCATGTAACGTACACGGCTGCCCCTGCTCGCACATAGGCTGCTGCTGCCCGTCCATAAGTCACGCTCAAAGTCACCACCGCTTGGCAAAGGGCCTCGCCATCCAATACCTTTTGATTAAAAATCCGGTCGTTTCGCCATATCCACGCTTTCCACACCGCCACCGAGAATATACAGTCCCAGTTATCAAGCTCCCCCAAACGACAGATGGATAAATTCCCCGGAGCCATCTCTTAAGCGGTTGCTGAAAAAAATGTAACGTCGTGGTCCGAAGGTAAAAGACGCTTCCATAGATACTTAGTGGCAGGGCAATCCCTCAATACGTGCAAAACCGTTTCTCTGTGCCCACAAAAGTCACACTTCTCCGATCCCGATAAATGTCGTCTAACCCTCTCCACATTATTAAGGAGTCGATCTTTAGCTGCAAGCCATAAGAAGTGGCGGGCTCGCTGGGGCGCTGGGACTCACCATATTATTTTCCACAAGAGTTGGTCAGGGTCGTTTGCAGCAGGAGAGAGCGCTCGATAGGCTGTCTTGGTAGAGAACTGCCCGTTCTCCGAGAAGCTCCAAATAAGCCGGTCATCTTCGGTCGACGCCAACGGGGGTATGGTGCTTGCGATACGTAGGATGACAGATGACGGGAGGAGACCATGGAACGAGTCCCATTTCCACCGGCCATGGATATCCACGAGATATGCGACCTTGGCCTGAACTTTCAATCCTTGCGCGTTTGGTAATAAAAATCTGATTAGGGCTCCAGTCGAGGCTAGCCAATTATCGAGCCAAAAGCGGGCCGCCATTACCGAGTGACCACCTAGCCCCTTTTAAGACGTCAGGCCAAACTGTGCGGAGGGCGCGCATTAATGGTGAACCCAGCCGCCAACGGGAGTGTGTCACATTATTCGCGAAAGTGATTTCGTACTTAGCTCTGAGAAGCCGCACCCAAAGCGCCTCCGGTTTGGTCAGAATTCCCCATCCTACCTTCATGAGCAAGGCGTTGTTCATGCGACGAAGATCCTTAACCCCTAACCCACCTTCCTCTTTAGATTTGCAAACATCACGCCATGCAACCAAGTGAACCTTACGGTTGCTCTCCGGCCCTCCCCAAACAAAGTCCCGACTCCTTCGCTCAATGCCATCCGTAATAGCACATGGTAGCAACGTGGATTGCATCGAGTAAAAAGGCAACGTACTTAACACCGACTGGGTGAGGGTCACTCTCCCCGCCATCGAGAGAGACGTCATGCGCCATCCAGAGAGTCGCGTCTCCATTTTATCTAAAACATGAGAATACAAAGACTTTGTCACACGACCATGGATAATCGGTACACCCAGGTACTTTCCTAAATTGTCCGTCCAGTTGAACTGAAGAGCTGTTGCCAACCTCAACTGCTCTTGGTGCTCCACATTTTTGGAAAAAAGATTTGTGTTTTTTCCAGGCTAACTTTAAGGCCCGAATAGTGGCAAAACTGGCCGAGAGTGTGCTTGAGGACTAAGGTCTGATTATCAGAGGCCTCTAGGAACAAGAGAAGGTCATCGGCGAACATTAAGAAAGGAACTTGGACAGTCCCCCTACCAACCGAAACCGGACGCCATGCTTTACTGTCGACCAACGTGCAAATAGACTGTGCCAGCCGTTCCATGCAAAGAACAAAGAGATAGGGGGAAATAGGGTCACCCTGCCGAATCCCTCTAGTAGTCCGAAACTCCTCCCCAGATGTGTCATTCCACAACAGTTGCATCGAAGCCTAGGTGACGCTAGCCATTACTGCCCTGACGAGCTTATTAGGGTAGCCAGCTAAACGTAGGGTTTCCTCGATAAAGTCCCAACGAAGATAGTCGTAGGCCTTTTCAAGGTCCACTTGATGACCATATAGCCCGTCGTCCCTCGCATCCCGCGCAACGAATGAATTAGCTCATGTGCAACGATTATGTTATCCGAGATATGTCGCTCCGGGACAAAGCTCGCTTGTGCTGGGTGAATCAGTACGGGCAAGGAACTCTTCATTCTATTCACCAGAACCTTCGTGAAAAGCTTGTATATCACATTAAGCAAACTGATGGGCCGAAAGTGTCTTATGGTGGATGGATGCTCGGTCTTAGGGATTAAAATAAGTAACGTTTGATTCACGCGGCTCGACACTACACCATCCTGCCACATGTTACGGAGAAAGGCACGAACCGACGGGCCCACATCATCCCAATTCTTCTTGAAAAAGAGGGCGTTCAGACCATCAATGCCTGGGGCTTTCAGAGAGCCCATATTGTCCAGAGCCTGGAAAATTTCCTCATCGGTGAGA